ACATTTCGAGTTCTACCTTCATGCATGCTTCTATTTTTATATGTTTTTACATATTTTGTTGTTGTCAACCAGCAGCAACAAGAAGAACAACAGCAGACGCGCAACCAGAGCCAGGGCGCTTGTCAATCAAAAAAATTATGCGCAGGTTCTTCAGTAGACAAAAAACTCCTGCCGAGACGCGCTTCAGTCGAAATTGTGTACACACGGCTGTGCCGACAAATCTCATGTATGAAATTATTTCGAGTACATTGTAAACTCGGAGAGAGCAGCAAAAGCAGCTGTGTGTGCTGGCTTATTCCCTGCCAGCCATAGTTAAAAATATGCTAATTGAAGTCAAAGCAGATAAAAGCAATCGAAATGCTGAGCATTAGTTTGTAACTGGGAATACACAATGCTGAGTTCAAGCCGAGGCTCAAACGCCACCCCACCCTCAAGTCAGCAAAAAAATATATCTACTCCAGGGAACTTAAGTTTAAACTATGCCTCTGGAAATATGCATTTTGATAAACAATTTAACACTAAAAGGAAAAAAAGCTGCAGCCAACAAAGCGAAAAATATTATGCTCTAACTCATTGTGTAAATATGAATAACTAAGCATGCAATTAACTACTATGTTTAATTAATATCTACTTAAACACACGTTAAAGCTACGAGCTGCCATTTGTGGCAGTTGCAACAACTGTTGCAAGCAGAATGCTTCTGAAGACAATAATTTGCTTTCAGATTCGCACACAGCTTGCCTGAAAACTATAAAATGAAATTCGTTAAGTGTTAGGCAATGCCGACAAAATTTTCAGTGCTGCAAAATTCCTAACTTATAAAAGAGCACACACAAAGTGTAAGACTTGTCAAGCCGAATGCTTCAAGCTTGCTTAAATATATAATCAAAGAAAATATTTTATAATTTTTACTAACATTTATCAATTTTCATATTTCGATTAAATAAGTTAGGTAAACTTGTATTTCTATATATTGTACTATATATTGAATTTATCATACTTCAAAAAAGTCTAGTGCTGCAAAATATTACAATCTAGCTGCTCACATAGTTTTTGTAATGTTGTAATCGATATGTTTTAATCGATATCAATTTATCGATGCTGCGCAATTGAACAGCAATTGTTCGCCTTTTGGCTTGCTTGTTCGACTTTTGATTTAACATATTTTTTTCCCGCTGTGGCTGTGCCCATTGCCAAAATGGCCAGACGTGCTCTCATCGAAGCGTTAAATGAGCAGACAACTGGGGCGGGCTGAAAGGAGGGGAGGGGGTGGGGTGCGAGGTAGCGAGGTAGCGTAGGCGATCTGGACTGGCTGGCAAATGCAATGAACTCTTGGCATCAGCCCGTACAGGCTGCACACAGTACAGGGGCAGACGCGGGCAGTTCTTTAAAATAGATGCGGCCCACACGCTCCTGCTGCATTCTTGTGTGTTGCAAAGTGCAGGCTGCAGCACTTGTTCCTGCTCTTGTTGTTGTTTTTGTAGGTGTTGTTATTGTTGTAAACTATTTATGCATTTGGAAGTTTATTTGAAACACGCTAGCAAATGCTAGCAAGAATTCCATTCGAACGCATTTCATATGTTGTTTTTTTCTCTCCCGTCCCGCATCTCGCATCTCGGGTCTCGGATCTTTTCTCGTAGCTGTTTGTTGATTTTATGTACTGTTTTTCTTGCTTCACTTGCTCGAGCCCCCGTCGGGTGCGCCTGGCCTGGTCTGGCCCTGCGGCCACATATGGTCACCTTAATTTGCCCGCACCCCAGGCTGCAAATAATTTATGCGTTCTCCCTGAGTTTTGGTTTATTTTTTCAAGCGCATTTCAACAGCCAAAGCAATCAGCAAATCGCCGGGCGGAAACAGCGCCAAGGGATGTTCAATGTTTGAATTCTGGATGATGATGATGCACGCACTCCATTCGAATCCGCGTCGAACCGACGGGTGGTTCAGCTCTATACACTGCTCAACCCGCCCCACCCCATTGTCTTGGGGCAGTTTCGGTGCGTGCCTCGAACGCTCATCGCTTCTTTGGCCCACTTTTGTTTACATTGACGCCATCGAAGCGTTTCAATTGAATCGCTCCAACAGCAAAGCTCTTGCAGGTATCAGGCAGCCTTGACAGATCTATTTATCAAGCGGCGTTCTGGCCATGTCGCCAATTCGCCAATTCGCCAACTCGCTTCATTAGCCCTGAAGCAGACGGCAGGGCAGTTTTTATGGCAGCTTGCCACATGCTCGCATTCGGAGTATTTTGGCAATTCGATAGCTGCGCCTCAGCCATCCGGCTATCGGAATCTTGTCTACTATCTTGGCAGCTTTTATGTGTCATCCTTGCTGCCAACTTTCGACACTTTTTTATATTAGCCATAAAGTTTTGCTATGCCGGGCTCTTTACTGCCGTCGCACATTGTCAATTAATGTCAGGTAATGGCCGCACCAGATGTCATATGGGACATTAAACGATGTAATGGCAAGTGAGAGTAGCAAAAGTCGGGAGACCTTCTTCCTACTAGGCCAAAGCTGCATCTCGTGGGAAACATTCTGAGTGCTGTCATCAAAATTAGATAAACCCGAAAAAAGCCCAATTTATTTGTACATCTCATTAATGGTGAGTATAATGTGCCTGGGCCAGAGGTAAAATATATATATTTTTATGGAATTTTCAGTTAAATGAAAGAGAGAGAGAGAGAGATAAGTGGAGAGGGGAGGAGAGGGGGGCGAGCTACCGAAAAGTATTCTCCTTAGTTAATTATAATGTGCTAGGCCTCGAGGTATCAAATACATTTTTATGGAATTTTCAGAGAGAGGAAAGCAGAGAAGCGTCTTCACAGAAAAGTAATCTTTCTTTAGTAATCATTTAAGAATTTTCCCAGTTCTCTGAGCTCTCTGAGTAACTCAGTAGGGCTCATTGTTCGAATTCTACATGGTGCATATGGGAAATTCATACTTGATTAACTTCGGTGTTTAAAGTCCGATATTTATGAAATATGGCAAGCGAAAGTGTGCACTTTAATACACTTTTAAAATTTGTTGGGTATATCAAATATGAAATATTTCCAAAGTCTGTATTAAGTAAAGTTTATTTAGCTCTAGTTTTAAAATCGATTTTTATCGATATTCAATGGGTTCTGGGAATAACCAAATTTGATAGTTATGAACTACATAAAACACTGTTAGCATTATAAATATTTATCAATATTACATTATTACAATAGTCAAATTTGTTAGTTTAAAACTATACAACAATTAGAATTCTGCTCACATATTAATTCTCAGATCGATAACTGTTTATTGAAAAAATCTCAATTGTCATCTTTGCAGGGCATTTTTCCGCTCCCTCCATTCTGGGCCGCGCCCGTTTTGCCTACCCCAGTGGCATTTCTAATTAAAGGCCCAGCCCAAATGCTGAATAAACAATAAATCGACAAGAATTATGGAAATACTCTTTTCTGAACATTTATTGACTGCTCGACATGGTTCGTGATCAATTTTAACAGAGCCAGCAGCAGATGAGAGGGGGGCAAGGTGCACAATTATAATTCAATTAACAGTAAAAATCAACTTCTCATGTCGAGGCTGGGACTAAAAAAGGCAGCGCCACATGCTGAGAGAGATAGAGTATCGAGAGGCATGTTCGGCATATTTAATTAATTATTGTATTTTTGTAAGTTTCATTTATTTTTGTACAAAGTTTAGTAAACAAGACAAGAACGAGGCAATGTGCATTGCCTGAAATTGAATAGCATTTATGGAAATATTCTCATGTTTAATTACGAAAACATTTCGATAGCGACTGCGGCAGCAGAATAAGCCACAAGAGCTCAGCCCGAGCAAGAACAGCAAAAACAGCGCCAGATGGCCAGACAAGTTACGAGCCAGAGCACAGAGAAACAACATGAACAGAAACTAAGCCCAGGGCCGAGCTGCAGATGGGGCAGAGTATAAGGTTTAGGCATGCTAACTAGATTGAAACGCCTGCCAAAAAGAGAGAGACAGACAGGCAAAAAAAGAGAGAGAGAGAGAGAGAAAGGGAGAGAGCGAAAAAATACAAAATCCAAACAGAGCTAAAGGATATTTTGCATTAAAGCCGAGACCCCTGCTAAATGATGAAGATGCCAGGCAGGAGCACAAGAGGAAGGGCAAAGAGTTGGGCCGGAGAGTAGTGAATGCCCCTGCACTCAGCTGTCGGCGAACAGAAAGAAGTCAACAGCTCGTTAACTTTAAAGTGGCAAGAGATATGCACGAGACGAGACGAAACAGGACGGGATGGGACGGGACGAGAAAGCCCAGAGACTCAAACCGAGACTACGCGACTCGACTTCGACTTGGAGCTGGAGCTGAAATCGGGCAGCAGGCAGAAAATGTATTTTGCTCGCGCTGTTGTTGCAAAGGGTAGCCCCAACAATGGGGCAACAAGTCGCGTCTGAGATGCGTCGCCCACGGCAACAGTTGCCATAGCCACAGCCAGGATGCCACATTTTGAAGTGCAAAATTGGCGTTGAAAAGTATCTGACGATGACGACGACGACGACGACGACGAATCCGACGACGACGATGGTCAATTGCACAGGGTCAGGCGTTTTTTTCCAGCAGCTTCTCATGCTCTGGCCCATTCTGTGGCAAACTAAGCGCATTGAAGTAGCCAAGGGGCAGCAGCTGTTAACTAAGGTCAAGTTTCTGCTTTTTTTTTGGACTGCAAACACGAAGTCCAGCTTCAAGAAATCTCAAGTAAGATGCAATTGCACACGACAGCTAGATTATGACTGAGGGATTGAAGCAGAGCACTTCACCAGTTTGTGCCAGGCGAGAAGGCCGGCCGCTCTTTTTTAATTAAGACAACTAGATTATGGTAAAGTTGCAGATTCTCGAGAAGCCAGCTGAGCTTAGGACTAGAGTTGTCTGCTGTTGTTTAAGTTGAAATTCATTTTAATCTAAGTCCCAAGTCTAAAAGCTGACAGACACGGTTCATAATAGATTCGAGTAATTGAAAAATCATCTTAACTCACCACTTTTTCCATTCCGTTGTTGTTGTTGCTGTTATTCAAATTGTCCTAGCATAAAATGTGCTCAGCTGTAATGAGATGCCAAGGAAACAGGGAAGAGAAATTAGATAACTTGTCAAAAGTTTATATTGGATAAGCTTAAGCAAAGCAAACTCAATATATAATCATCATGATGTACTATATAAAACGAAATCTTTGTTTACCCAACTCGTAAAAAAATGCTTATACATTTTTAATTAGAAATTATTAAAACAAGACAACTTAATTATGAAATGAGCATAAAAGCCGATGAGCCCGGCATTTAGAAGCGACTCGCAAAACTTTGCTGCTCGACTGATTTATGTCGTGACAGGCACAAAAGAAAATGGCGTGAAAAACTGGCGAATAAAATGGACAAAAAAATTAAAAAGCAAAAAAAAAACAAGCCGTAATGCGACATAATTTACAGTCTAAACCAAAGAATGTGCCCGAGTTGGGGTTGGGGCTGCGAGTCAAGTGTGGCGGCTAGAAAAAAGGGTTGTGGAACGGGGGCTAAGCTGCCCAAATTGTGGCCTGAGTTATGTGCCGCCCGGGCAAATATGTTAATATTTAGCTAATGAATGGCCCGAGCAGAGCTGGGCCCAAGGAGTGGGCAGCACATAGACGCAGAGACAATTGAAGTAGCTATTCCAACAGTTCGGGGGACGACGCCACACTTCAAAAAGCGGCAGCCCGCGCCGCGCAGGCAAACAAGCGGCTTTCTAAACAGGAAAAACCAGGGCAGGGGAAAACGCAAATAGACAGAGAGAAAGAGACAGGGGGAGTGGGAGTGAGGGAGAGGCACTTTGGACTACTTTAATCACGCCATGGGATTAAGGGCAACGCCGCGGATGATGAAGAAGTTGCGTGTGCCAAGAGTTTGTCTCCGGAGAAGGAGTAGCAGCTAAAGATGTAGATGAGGGGGCAACGAGGGGCAGGAACTACGCTTACAATTTAATTAACTTTTTGTTTTTATTTCTTATTAAAGACGCCCCTTGTTTGTTGTTGTATTTGCTTTAACGGCACTCTTTGTACGCCATAATGCAAGTTTAATCAGCGCGCGACAAAAAAATATAGAAGAACTCTATATAAAAAACACAAGTCAGATACAGATACAGATACTTGCGAGCGGCGGTTGCCGCATTTGTAGTTGTGGCTGTATCTGTGTGGGTGCCACGCAAGATTTGCCTAACCAAGTGCTTGCAGATAAGTCGAACAGAAACAACAACAACAATGAGAATGACAATGACAATAGTATCTTTTGTCTTCTACCCACACACAGAGAGAGAGAGAGAGACGGGCCGCCGCCGCCTTTGATTTGCCTCCTGCGCCTTCAATTTGCCAGGTGTAATCTCTAGTGTAACAGCGAAAACAAAATAACAACAACAACAACAACAACAACAAAAGCAAGCACAAAATCGAGAGCCGTTGATAAAGTTAAGCAAACGACAATAAAATGACAATTTTTTAATTATAAACGTTTGCGCTTTTGTTTAATTAAAAAACAGAAAAAGAAGAAAAATGGCGCCTCTGAAGCAATTGCCGAACTACTTGAGAGATATTACTTTATAGAGTCTGACAAACAGGTCTGCAAATCTTAGTCAAAGACTCTAGTTAAACATTAGATTTTTGTACTCTTCCAGCTGATAAATTAACTAATTAATTGGACTGTAAAACAATTCCAGTTGAATATAAAAGGACTAAGAACCAAGACTCTAACCAACACTTGGATAATGTCTATAGGCACCCGGGAATCGAATATCAATGCGAAGCACAAGTTAATAAAATACTTGGAAATCTTAGTCAAAAACTCTAGTTACTCTTCCAGCTGATAAATTAATTAACTTATTGAATTAGTTTTAAGAGTAGATCGAAACAATTGGACTGTAAACCAATTCCAATTGAATATATAACAAATTAAGAAAGAATTCAAATCAACACTTGGATAATATCTATAGAAACCGAATCTCAAGGCGAGGCACAAGTTAATAAAATACTTGAGTGTCTAATAATGTTGTATGGAATTAATTTCTATGTTTATATTATTCATATTTTTAAAAAGCAACATGTAAATAAGTTTCAGTTTATTTAAAAGAAACCAGTTCGAAATAATCGGATTCCACATAAAAAAAAAAACCCAATTCATAAAACTTGACTTAAGAACTGGGGAATTCGCATAGATAGACCTCATCTTATCAGAGATTCTAAATTTTCCTGTCAAGCGCCAAATGGTATTTGACATATGATTATGCGCATAGTTTATAGATTATGATCAGCAGATCTTCATATTGTCATGCGCTTTAAATAAATCATGTCTGTTTTTATGTGTGTGCCAAAAAATACAAGAAATAAAAAGAAAAACAGCTTTAACAACAAATCAAATTCCGCGAAATATGCGAAACGAAATCTGAATTCAAATGTGACTGGCACATAAAAGATATATTTTTTTCAAAAGAAATCTAGACAAAGCCAGCGAAAACAACCTGCCACAGCCCGAAGAAGCTGAGATCAGATTCTTCTGATTGGAGTGCTTGGAGCTCTGTGTGACTTGTTGGACTCTGGCTTGGCTAATTAAATGGGCGACTCTGGGCAGGCAGGCCAATTAATTAAGCGCATAATTTATGGCAACATGTTGTCTGTCTGTCCGTCTGTTTGTCTGTGCTGCCGCATGTCAACGACGTCAATTGAAGGCGCATATAAACAATATGCGATCGGCAAAACGAGCATTAAAAACAACAAAAAAAAAAGAAACAAAAGCCAAATGGCAAAAAGTATCCGTTTCCAAATGTTTAATTTATGACATTGGCGAAAATTTATGACTAAAAATTGAAATGCTCAGCGTGCGGCGTTGGAGGACGACAATGAATATGTATTGTATCTTTCAAATTGAAATTCCAATGAAGCTCAAGGAGTTGGCAACGATAAAAAACAACAACAACAACAACAACAACAAGATGCAGAAGAAGAAGCAGAACAGCAAAAACAAATAGCACTCATCGTCGCAGGAAGCAACAGACAGACCAGGCCCAGACCTTAAACAAACAAAAATTAATTATGTTTCGATGCGGAGAACGAGAGAAAGATACAGATACAGCAACAGATACAGATACAAAAGAACCTGGCGTGTAGACTGCGACGGCCTGAAAATAAAATAATTTCATTTCGTTTCGTCTGTTTATAAGAAAAATATGTTTTTGTTTGTTTTAACGCGCTTCCTTTGCACACAACATGTGCGTGAGCTATATCTGTGTGTGTGTGTGTGTGTGTGAATGCAGCCTAGAGATGCGTATCTGTTGGATACATATGCAGTTAACTGTACAAGTACACATACACGCACACGTGTCTATTCTGGCTATTTTTGGGCATCATTTAAATTAATTTGGTTTCGTCTAAAGCAACACATAGATACACACATTATTCTTTTTGAGCTGCCTCGCATCTGTAAGATACATTTTTATGAATTATATCGCATGCCTCAATGCATGCTGCAACCCATCTTTCTCTCTCTCTCTCTCTCTCTCTCTCTCTCTCTTTACCCAGCTTCATTTTAATTAGCTTGACATTTTTTTTCGTTTGCCTTTGTTTTTTTTTGGTTTATTTTTTCGTGCTGATTTTCCGTTGGCTTCGGCTGTCTGTCTGCGGTTTTTAGGGTTAACAGCGCGTAGATTGATATCTTCAAGTTCATTAGAGTTGCAAGTTGCTTTAATTGGAAATATGCACAGATCTCAAGCAGCTGGAGCAGGCTCTCCAGTCGCAGCAGCCGTCCCGCGCACACTTGGGTGAAAATTAATGATGCCTGACTCTGACTCCGACCGCGACTCTCGACTCTCGACTCCGTGAATTGCCCTGCTCCTGTTGCAGCTCTTTCCTCAGTTCTGTTTAAACTTGGGCATTTCACTTGGGCGCGAGCATATCAACTCTCAGGGCCTCTTTTCTTCTGCATGTTTATTCTCTGGTTTTGTTAACTGATTTCAACGGAATCGGCAGTTAATGAAGAAGCAGCCAGTGTGCTCCTCCTACCCCCTACAGGGCCTGTTTTAATTAAATGCTTTCCTATATAAGGCATATTAAAATGTTGCGCTTTTAATATGTTCGTTCCAAAAAGCAAAAAAAGGGAGTATGCTGGACTCGTGCTGTTTACTTATTTATACATACTAAAGGTCCTCAAATGAACAAAGCTAGAGTATCTCACAGTCAGTCTCACTTGTTGAGCTTATGAAATATTTATGTTTTTCCTAGATTTCAGGCAAATGTTTAACTAATATTCATTTATTAAGTTTACTTTAATATGTTTATGCAAATATTATTACAATTAATTTCAATTAAAGAACTTTTATTCTAAATTTATTTTTATATTCTTTAATCTCATAGAGCTCGGGTCGCGGCCTTTATGTTTTACATATCTAATTCTCTAATTCATTTTATTTATTTACATAAGTTACTTTGTCAAGCGCACACACACACAAACTAATTTCCATTTAAATTTCCACTTGTTCTTTATGTGTCGCCTCCCTCCTTGACAATAAATGCCCGCATGTCTTGTTAATTTTCATTTTAAACGAGTGTGTTTCTTAGCTTTTAGTATTTGTTCTTCTTAGACGCAGCGCACAACAAACAAAATTAACACCTAGTTGCTATATTTCCAGCTAAAAACCACACACACAGGCAAACACACACACACACACACAGGCACACTCACATTTGGAAATAATAAGAGACCATAAGTCAAACCCCTAACAAGGTGTCATTTGGTCGTTGGTTTTTGTGCTGGAATTGCTGTTAAATGAATTAGAGAGCTGCCCGTGCTTCCATATGCCATAAATATCATGAGGGGAAGGGACACAGGGGGGTTGAGGGGTTGCAGGTGAATTCACCCACATGTCACGCCCGTTGAATTTATAGCTGACACTTTCGTTGATATTTATTTTTTGCAGCTCATTCGTTTAAATGCAAATTGTTCAACTAGGCGTATGCGCGATATTTGCAATTAGCATATTAAATATTTGACTGATAGACACAATTTTTGGCTCGGCTTAGAGCATGTTTTATA